CCTGGGATTTGTCATTTATCATTGCAGCTGAACCATAGGCAAACTAAAAAAATATATTACTAATTATAGTTATGGAATTCCAGGGTAGAATACATTTAAGTTGTATTAATATTTTGGGATAAACCTATAAGATTTGGTCTCTGGGATAGCTTTTTCCACTAGGATAAACCATCATGGCTGACCCTACAAGGGGAAAAAATTCTTCTCTTCCCCAAATATTCTGATCTCAGACAGGAGAAGAAATTTCCCCATGGTAATCCCTGAAATCTATGGAAGAATCTTCCCCTGCTTCCTCTTTTCTCAACTTTTGTCATACTTTGAGGACAAGTCAAGATGTTCATTCATTAATTAGTGTTTTTAATATTGCTTGTATTCATACGGTTTCCTCTATACAGTGAAAGTTTATGGGCTTTTTACATCTATCAGAAATTTATCATTAATTTTTGTACCTTATGATTCTTGATGAATGTATCTTTTCTTTTATGTACTTTGGGAGCATATGCACCAAGACAAATTCCTTGTGTGTCCAATCACACTTTGCCAATAAAGAATTCTATTCTATTCTATTCTAGTATGATTAATGTGATATGAATATCTTAATCTGTAAGTGAATTACAGATTCAGAATATAGAATAACAAAGGGACCTTGGAGGTCTTCTAATCCAACCCACAACTTCCAAAAGAAAACCATTCCACTGTTTTTTTGTTCTAATTGTCAGGAAATTTCTTCTTAATTCCAGGTTACTTCTCTCCTTGATTAGTTTCCATCCATTGATTCCTGTCTTGCCTTCAAGTTGACAAAAATAGGCTGACCCCCTCTAATTTGTGACACCCCTAAAATATTGGAACACTGCTTCATTCATTAAATTAGAACTGTATCAAAGCTTAAAAGTTTTCACTCCTGTCTCTTCTTCTTCTACTAAAAAAAACCCATTTATTTTCTAAATAATGGCAAAAGCATATATAAAATGCAACCTCCCCTTTCCTTTCAATTGTTCTTTGAATGAGGCCAACTCACCTGTGGAATTTTGTAGATGCATAGAATGCTTGCCATAAAAAGGCAAACATTACTGTTAGGACCACAAATAATGGCGGCTATATTGGTCTGGACATCACACTTATAGTTCAGGATAAACCTGCCCTGTGTAGAGAGAAGTTCCACTGAGGCCCGATAAGTCCATCTGGCATGAAAATTGCTGTTCAACACATGGAACCCCAAAGAGACATTAGGCAAGATGCTTGGATTTTCATTAATTGTTTCAACTGCAAATTGCAAAGCCAGAATATGTTGGTAGTTGTGAGTTAAGATGCTGTAATAAAAATAAAATCTTTTCATGGATCTTCTTTAAAATATATCACAGGAACCACATTTCAAGAAATGAATCAAATGCATGAATTGCTATTTGCTACGTTGCATTTCCATGCAACAAGGGCAAAAAGAAAAAAAAACTTGACATAATTTCTAAATATTTGAATTCTTGGTCATCGCTGAGTATCCAAATCAACTTTAAACATTTATAATTGTAGGGATGTTGCTTTCAAAAATCTTCAAATATCACTGTTGAAGCTGTTTGTGTAATCTGTACATATTTTTTCCTAGAACTTTATTGTGATCAGTCACATGTATTAAAAGGATATAAGGCAAAATTATTTCTTTTCCACAGTTATGAATATAAAAGCATGATGCTTTCTTGTGGAAAGAAATTACTATGATAATAAATATGGCAAGTTGGACAGATTACATTAGACAGGTAATTTTCCAACATAAAGGTATCTTTTTATTATCCTGCCAACACCTAGACTGTGGGGAAATACTTTTGACTCATATCATACACCTATTGCTGAATTGTGGCTTTGCCTCTAATTCCATGTCTAGGAAAGTCTGACCCCAAAATCTGTCTTGATAGAGATAATTCTGTGTTATGGTTTTCCAGAGAGACAAAAAATTGACCGGAAAGGACTTGGACAAGAATCACTGGAAATGTAAAGCTTTAAATGGGGATGACTTTAATACACTTTTTAATGCAGCAATTCTATAGAGAACTGCCTCAAGATGCTTTATTTGCAGCATTTTATATGAGCATTTTTAAAAATCAAATGACATTTATATAATGCCAAAGAAGTTTAATACCAGCATAATATATAGGGAAAATTACACCAATCCAAATTAATTAATCTCTAATTCTTCCTAAAATATTCTGAATGAACTTTGTAATGTATTTCCATTCCTTGATTAGTATCAAGGAAAAGCTCACACTAATCAGTGGAGTCTCTTCCCAAAAAGATATGAAGGTCTAAGGGCACATGTTCCATTGTTTCTCCAATAGTCTATATGTACTGATACCTTCTTGATAATCCCCATTATAACATCATAAACATAACAAAAAGAAAAGAGTTTCTTAGAGGAACAGGGAAGCAAATAAATCTCCTAAGAGTTCAGAGAGTTTAATATCAGTGTTAGTTAGTCTGGCTCGCTAAGGATATAATGTGGTTTCAAACCAAAGAAAACCTTACTTGATGAAATCAAATAATACAGAAGAAGGATTTTCTTCAAAGTTTTAATAGATTGGAAAATACTTAAATCACACTCTAGTCAGTGGAAGTTCTTCGCTTCCACAATACATGAAGCCTAAGGATACCTGCTCCATTGTTGCTGGTCAATGCAATGTTTTACATGACATAGCAGCTATATAAAATAGGAGATAATTAACATATGTGATCACAACCAATAGCCTATATTGATATCTTCATGAAAATCTCAATTTTGATTTCATAAATATAATGACTGTGGAAAGGAAAAGTGAAGAGTTTCTTAGACAGACAGAATTGCAAATAACTATCCTAAGAATTCAAATAAAATAATAATCAGTCTTAGTTAGGCTGGTTCACTGAGGATATAATGTGGTTCCAGATCAATGGAGAACATAGTTTACCTTACTTGTTGAAATCATATACGTCAGAAGAAGGATCTTCTTTAAAGTTTAATAGATTGGAAAATACATAAATCTGAGAAAGAATGCCACCAATGGTAAAGTCACCAGGATAATAGTATTTGTGAAGAATAGAAAGAGGATGGCTCATGGGACATTTCACACAAGACCTGATCTGAACAATTTGACATGTCAATGTTACTAGAATCAATACTTCTATCTCCACCATCGTGCATTTATATTTGTCCATCTAGATTCCAAAACTTATATATTTACTTTGATATTTAAATCAGACTCACTGACTTCAGTTAACTTATTTTTGAAGAGTTCTCTGGACAATTGTGAAATAGACAGGTGAAGTGATGCCTGTGTCTAGGTACCTATTAACCTTGTTATTTATCTGTGGTGTTTCTTAAGTAGAATAAATTATGGTTGATTTGATAATTACAGGGGAAATCATCACCTGTGAAACTGACTTCTTTGTAACATCACTAGTGAAAATTATGTTCAGTATACTTTTGCAATGAAATAACAGTAATAGTTTTGATCAAGAGGATGATGTCCAAAAATGATTTGTCAAAGAGGCATTCCATATTCTGGGTTGTCCTGTTACTTGCAACATGCCTCAAACAAATAATGGTGATATTTATTATACTTAATGACTTTAGAGCAAGATATTTCCAAAATGCCAATAATATATATACTTGAGGTCAATATCTGTTATTGAGGTCAAGTCCTTTGTTTTGGTTTAGCATGAAGGCAATTTTTAAATATATTTATTTTGTTTTATCAACAAAAATAAAATGCAAAACAGAAAAAGAAAAAATATATATCCAATAAAAAGAGGACCTGGAAAATATCTACAGCCCCTCATATTCTGGACATAAACTTTTTCAACTTCTTCCCTTTAGACGATGCCATAGGGCAAGGGTGTCAAACTGGTGGCCTGCGGGCCAGTTACATCATATGCAGGCCATGCTCACCCCTGCTCCGTGAATGGGGAAAATGCTGTGAAATGCATGTGACAGCAATGTGACATGGCAAGTTTGACACCCATGCTATAGGGCAATGCACGACAGTACAACTAGACACAAGGACTGTTTTTCCCCCCATGCCATAAATCTGATAAACAACTAACACCCCCCCACCTATTGTCAAACTACCTAGTAGGGCTGTGTTACTATTATCCATCTCATCTTTCCTATTACCTATTTCCTCATCCTTTTATGACTATAACTTTGTTGCTTATATCTTATGATTTATATTAATTGTTTCATTTTGAATCCTAGTATGACTTATATTGATTGCTTATTTAGTATCCTATGATAATAACCCAAATATTAAATACTTTTAACATTTAACATAAAGAATCCACCTCAGCTGGATGCTGGAAATAAAATCATAAATTATTCTCCCCTTTATATAATAGGCCTACAAATAGTTATAAGCTTTCCCATTGCTATTTAACAAGAATACTATACCAATGTAGGATGAAGACATTTTTGATGGTAACAAGAGAGAGAACATTTTGGGAGATTATACCCTTCTGACTCATTCTGACTCTGGTGGTCCTCCTTATTAATTCATGTTTTATTTAGCTTTAATATATTAAATATTGCCATTCAGTGATTTAGAAGTATTAAAATAAATAAATAGAAAGAGGATGTATAACATCTAAGCTAAACATTATGCTAGCTGAAAAGCCCACACATTTAAATTTTAGGGAAGCTGGTAGGATGTATATTTGAATATGTCCCTCAACATTTTTTGAGATAACCTGATAAATATATACATATTTGCTATGAGCTTTTGAAAAACTCACTGGAAAGTTAATTTTTTCCTTATATTGTTAAAAGACTCTTCCAATGCACCTTAATAATGTTTCATATCTTAAATTTTATTATTAATTATAAAATGTTCATAATTTATTTTTCATTGTTTTATTTTTTAGTACAATTGTTTTAATAGCAATCTGAAACTTGTTTTTCACTGTAAAGAGCCGATAAATTCAGTTTTACATGCGACAAGATATAAAATTTTGATGATTATAATAAATAAGCTATTCTTTGACTATGACTTTCGTCTTCTTAGTTGTTCCTTGTTATTCAGTTCAGGCCTCACAACAATGATATAACATTTAGGGGAGAAGATGCAGAGCAATAAACCAGCACTGGAGGCCAAGATGGAAAAAATCTCCACGGCCACCATGTATTTGCCCTTTGTGCTTAAATAAGTTGGAACAAAGGACACCCAGACACTGCAGAAGACCAACATGCTGAAGGTGATAAACTTGGCTTCATTGAAACTGTCAGGCAAGTTCCTGGCCAAGAAGGCCACCGTGAAGCTGATGGTAGCCAAGAACCCCAGAAATCCCAAGACAATGTAAAACATGGTGATAGAGCCTTCTTTACATTCCAGGATAATTTCTTCAATCAGGGAGTGCATGTCAATGTCTGGAAAGGGAGGAGTAGTTACCAACCACCCAGTGAAAATCAAAGCTTGAATAAAAGAGCAGGAGAGGACGATGGAGCTGGCCATTTGCTTTCCAGACCATTTCCTCATCCCACCACCTGGTGTGGTTGCCATGAAGGCCAGGACCACAATGATGGTCTTGGCCAAAACTGAAGAAATGGCTATTGAGAAGGTGATGCCAAAGGTTGTTTGTCGAAGGAGACACATAAGCTTTGTGGGCTGTCCAATGAAGAGCAAAGTGCAAAGGAAACAAAACAAAAGAGAAATGAGAAGAACGTAGCTGAGGTTCCGGTTGTTGGCTTTGACAATGGGAGTCTCCCGGTACTTAATGAAGATATAAAGCACCAAAGCTGTGAGGAAAGAAAACAATAGGCCAAAAAGAGTGAGTGTAATTCCCAAAGGTTCTTCAAATGAGAGGAAGCTGATACCTTTCGGAAGGCACATATTCCGATCCACATTGGGATACTGATTTTCTGGACATTGAAAACAGTCTTCCATATCTATGAAAGAAACATGCGTTAGGAAACACAACCAATCTTCATTCCTCTAATTTCATTAAAGAATAGCCATCATTTATAGATTTGTTAAAGCAGACAAGTTTTAGCAAACATTAAAATGTCCCTGAGAAGTTGATAAAAATACTTGCTAAAAACCCCTTTTCTTGTATTGCACTATTAAACTAGGCAGGTTATAAAAAGAAAAATTACACAAAAATTAAGATACAAAAAGAAAGTAAAACCTAAATAAAGAAATTATTTCTTTAAAAAATTAGCAACAAAATTTTGCCATGCCCTCCATTTTCCCCAGAGCTCGAACAATTACCACAATATTTGTACTGGATTTTCAATGTGAAACACTAAAAATTATTTCTAGTCATTTCATCTTTGAAATCTGTTTTTTTTTTCCCCTCTGAAAAATTGTATTCCAAGCATGTGGATTTAATCGCTGTGTAATGCATTTCCATTGAGTAATTTCCAACCTCTTGAACTTTCTTTACAATCTGTTGGTTGTTTTTTTTTTTTTTGTTTTTTTTTAACAATCTTTACAGTGGCAAATCAGACTGCAAAAGTTTACATATTCTATAAATAAATTAGCATCAGTAAGAGCCAGTGGTGAAATCCAAATTTTTTACTACCGGTTCTGTAGGCATGGCTTGGTGAGTATGGTGTGGCTTGGTGGGCGTGGCAGGATAAGGTTACTGCAAAATCTCCATTCCCACTCCACTCCAGGGAAAGGATACTGCAAAATCCCCATTCCCTCCTCACTCCTGGAGGAAGGATATTGCTAAATCTCCATTCCCACCTCATTCTGGGGCCAGCCAGAGGTGATATTTTCCAGTTCTCCAAACTACTCAAAATTTCCGCTACCAGTTCTCCAGAATCTTTCAGAACCTGCTGGATTTCACTCCTGGTAAGAGCTAAGAAAAAGATAGATGGTATGGAATGCCTGTGCAGCCCTGAATTGAATATTTTATTCTCAGGCAATAGGTTCTGCAATAATACTCTCCTATTGGAACACTTACCGTTTTGGTTTGAAATCTTTCCTTCAGGACATAAATGACAATCATAGCAGCAAAATGGCTTCCCCTCAATCTTGGTTTTACTATAACCAGAATGGCAGTTGACATTACACAGAGAAATAGGTTGAATCTGTGTGGAAATGGAAGAGATGAAAATGTGTCACTGTTCAGAAAATTAATTTAATAATTTTTTTCGGGGGGGGGTCTAACTTTTTTCTTTTCCTATTTGCTTTGGTTTTTGGTCTCTTTGAGTCAGTCTTATCACATAGTGACTTCCTGGACTTCCCGTGCACTTCTCTTGGCAAGATTTCAGAAGTGGTTTGCCATTGCTTCCTTCCCAGGGCTGAGAGAGAGGGACTGGTCCAAAGTCATCCAGCTGGTTTTGTGCCTAAAGTGGGACTAGAACTCACAGTCTCTTGATTTCTAGCCTTGTTCCTAATATTACAGGTTACACATTGATAATGACTTGGCCAGGGGTGGTATTCACTTACTTTCCCTACCGGTTTGCAAATGTGAATGCGCAAATGTGAGCTTTGCTGGTGCACGCTCCTTCTATGCATGTGCCTGGCCTCAAAAATGTGCCTAAATAGGATGACATAGAGCCAGGGCAGGTGGGCGGGCCCACCTGTAATTTCCACTACAGGTTCAGGTGAACTGGTCCAAACCGGCTGAATACCACCTATGGACTTGGCACAAGTTATAAACATGGCTGAAAAAATTACACCAAAATACAAATAAAATTCCAAAATATATTGTTTTACCTCCCCGCCCCTCACCTTAAAGTAAATTTTCTCTCATCATTTTAAAACCTCAGGAATTTTTTTTTTTTTTAAATAATGTATTGAACATCACCTGTTTGAAATTGTTGTGCCATATAATAGCATTTTCAGAGATGGTGAATACTTTCCCAGGAGAACCCAGTGGTGCTACTCCTCCAACTTTTACTCTCTGGAAGGATTGATTGGGAAATGTGACCCAATTTATAAGATCAAATCCAACTATTAATTCCCCATGTGAACTAAAGGTGAAGGTTTCTCCAACACTATTGTTAAATGAGTTGCTTTTCAAATAATAGTGAAGCTAAATTAGAATGGGAAGAAAAGTAATTACAAGAAGGCCAGGAATAATAATTCAATAATAGTCTACTATTTTACATATACCGTGTTTCCTCGAAAATAAGCCCTCCCCAAAAATAAGTCCTCCCCGAAAATAAGCCCTCCCTGAAAATATTTAAATGCATATGCAGCTGGTCTGATTAGGGTTAGGGAGACAGAGCTGGAAATTAGGTAAGATGGCAAGAGGAGCCCCGTCTTTCTTCACGCATCCCAAAATAAGCCCTCCCCGACAATAAGGCCAAGCACTTATTTCGGGGTTCAAAAAAATATAAGACAGGGTCTTATTTTCATGAGAGACATTTATTCTGTTCTTTCTTGTATCTGTCTCTTTAACCTCTGATGTGCCTTGAGAATTTTTAAGGGGTGAAATACAACACCTTCTGTTTCATTAGCTGAAATAAATGGCTCTGAGAAACTGTACCTTTTAACACAGATAGAATAAAAGAACTGAGAACACAATAAGATCCTCCGGGGGGAAAAAGCTTATCCTTCAGAAAATAATAAATTAGATCAACTCAAAGGACAATACTTATAATATTGATGCACCTAAAATTGATGTTTTGTTTGATTGCTATTTTTCTTTTCCTTTGTGCCTGAAGTTTTTTAAAGATACACTTAGGGGAAAAATTGAAATTAATTTGATAAAAAATAATAATTAAATTAATTCATTTTGCTTTGGTTTTTGTTGGGTTTTGGAATGTTCTTGCAATGTGTAAATTCAATAGAGAGGAGGAGGAGGAGGTGGAAGTGGAGGTGGAGGTGGAGGTGGAGTTGGAGGTGGAGGAGGAAGTGGAGGAGGAGGAGGTGGTGGAGGAGGAGGCCTGGTTTCCAAGGCTGAGGAAGAGTGTCTGGCACAAGAGACTGGCTTTGTACCTAAGCCAAGGCTAGAACTAATGAAAGATGCCTCCAGTCAAGTCATAGCTGAAATCCTAAATTTGTCATTCTATTTTAGAGTTAAAGTCTGGTTGTTGAAGAGATTTGCCTTTAGTCACTGTGACAGCCACCAGAAAAGAAAGCACAGAAGATGGAAGAACAGTGTGATTGATCTGGGTGAGAGACTCTTAACTTTTACTTTTTAATTTTTTTATGGAAGAAAGAGTCCCCTGGAAACAGCTGGTGAAAGTGAGACCTAAAAAGGAGGAGGTGGAACTGTTTTTCCTCCACCTCCCAAGAAAAGCGGTGAGTAAAGCATAAGAGCCATTTTTGAGAACAGGAAGTAAAGCCAAAGAACTTTTTAAAAAGTTGAAAATAAACTTTGCAATTTGGAAGCTGGACTGGGGACCTCAAATATAACATTGATTAAGTTAGAAGTTTTTGGATACCATAAAATTTGGACATACTGTACAGACCTTTGCTTTTTATAAAACTTGGATCAGAGTATATTTTATAAAAGAAGGAAGAATAAGAGAGACATAGAGGAACAGTGCTACCTATAGGCAGAAGTGAAAGCTGGGAGGTGTAAAGGAGAAAAGGGAAAAAAGTATAACCTTGAGAAGCTGAAGATAAAGACTGACTACTAGACAACTAATTTCCACACTATAAGTTGTTTATGCTGAATAGCTGAAATAGAGAGTGAAACACTGAGATTTTCTATTTTTAAACAGTGCAGCTCTTGGAACTCAAGCAGAAACTAAACAGATAAGGTGAAGCAGAAGCTGAAAACAGTAAAAAATTTCCCTTTTTTAATACATTGCTCTGTGACCTCCCTATCTGTGGATATAATAACTGGTGGATGAATTTTGGGGTTTCGTGGGCCTATGCCAATTACAATTTACCAATTTATATTTTTTTTCATGAAAAGAAAGGATTAGGGTTTGAAGAATCTGAAGAACAATAACAAGTATGTCTGATAACCTTTGGATTATAACTTATACTTTTGCCTTTTCCTTGGATTACAACTAATAGCTTTATCCTTTACGTTTTGTGGATTACAAGTACCAACACACTTCAAAATGAGGAAAACAGCATCTGCACCATCTTCAGTACCATCATCAGCAACATCTAGTCCATCAGGCCAGAAGTCATTGTATGCCATGCTACAGCAAGAGAAAGCAAATGTGATGTAGGCAGAAAGTTATGATTCAAGCCCTACATGATGATATGAAGGAAAGAATAGGGAAAGTGGAGTATAAAATAGAGAATTTTCAACAAATAATGGCGAAAAGTGAACAACGCATCCAGAAAGTAGAAGAGAAAGCTGAACAAAAAGAAAAAAGAGTGAAAGAAGTTGATCACAGACTTACTTTGGCAGATAAAAATAAAGAGAGAACAATAATATCACTTGACATGGATCGGGCTTATTATTACTTGCGGTTTCAGAATATTGAGGGAGAAAAGGGAGAAAATCTAGCAGAGATATTGGCAGAGCTGTTGGTGGAGGTTCTAGAGGTGACCAAAGAAAAAATTCTTGCTGAGATTGATGAAATATTTAGAATTCATACCAGATACACGACAGAAAACAAGCTCTTCCTGATTCTGATGGATGTCTTGGTGATTGATGCTAATAATGATCATTTCTCATTGAGGGCTGCCTATGAAAGCTGGAGGTTGGAGAAACTCTTTTATGGAGAATTGATTCCTTTTCTAATGAAAAGGAGAAAGGGTGAACACTAATTTCCATATTTTGTGGAGTGCTCCAACATTTTGTCCTATTATTTCTAATTTATATGAAGCTCCTAGAAGATATTGTCTACCACTGTGGAGAGCAATATAATCAATATTCTGAGGTTACTAGGCTTTACATTGTGATAGCAATCTGGAATGTTATGGTTCAGCTGAGCAGTATTGCTAGGGTGGAAGAGGAAATAGTACTCATAAGAAGTTACCTTCCATGGTTGTTGATTGAGAAGTTCCCTTCTTCCTCTTCTCTGGATTGCTCTTTTGTTCACTGCCCTGGAATGCATGGCATGCAAAGCTTCTGCCACTACATGAACAGCATTATAGAGGCTATAGCTGTGGCTGGTCATGCTCATTTCAAAAACAGAGCCAGGAAGGGTTTCTAACTTCTCCTCTCCAGTGCAGAGTCCTCCTGGCTTTGTTTCTAGATTGGAATGGGAGAAAGAGCACTGGAATGCCTCTTCCCAGAAGTCGTGGAAGAAGCCATCTTCTTTTTCTGATGGAAGCTTTCTCAATCGAAGGAATTGATGGAAGCTGGAAACGTCTTTGGTGTGAACTGCAAAGGATAGAGCCCCATGGATGAAGTCCATGTCCCAGCTCCGTAGCAGCGGAAGGGATGTGAAATCCGTTTGGGCAGTGAAAATCCATACTTTGGCTTTCATTGGTATGTCATGAAATTTGGAGAACTGAAGCATAATTCTTAAAACCATAATACTTTGAATTTCACCCAGTACAAGAACTACATTGGCTGTTCTTTCCATAACAATGCTTATTGTCTTCAGTCCTTCCAATGCTATTGGGTTGATTTCTGAAGAAAAACTTATTTGTGGAAATGTTTCTACAAAATCAAAGCAGATAGCTTCCTGAGCGAAAATGGATAGTATGCTTTCCACAGAGCTTTCTCCAATGTCATCGTCTATATATATAACACCAATCCATATCCACTGGAAATGCAGCAATAACTGGAGAATCCCCTTATAGTGATGGTCAAGATTTGGGAATAGCTGATGAAGGAAAACTCCCTGAGATTTGTCATTCATCATTGCACCTGAACCATAAGCAAACTAAAAATATATTATTAATAATAATGAATAATATGATGTGTGTTTTTTATTTTTTAAAAATTAAGATATAAACCTCAAAAAAGAATTATTACAGTAACAAACCAAAACCAACAAGACTTCAGTAAGCATTAAAACTTTTTTTAATGCTTCCAGCATTAAAAAAAAAAGGACCCAAACACACATATATGCATACTATTTCTCCTAGTTGAATACTGATAAAAATATTGCAACACTATTAGTTTCCCTCTTCTTGTGAAACACACCCCAAAATGTTTAAACCTTTAACTCTATTTACAAATTATTAACCGGTAAACTATCTACTATATTTATAACAAAACAGTTAACAGGTAGAACAGCAACAAGAAAGACAAGATTAAAATTTCAGAAACTTATATTAAAAAGCTATTATTGTATTCAATTTGTAGAAATTTTACAGGGTTTCTTATCTATCCCACATCATCCCAATAGTTAACTCTAATTTGTCCTGGATCGAATATCCTAATTTCTTAATAACATTTTTTATCAATTATTGTTTGGTTAAATATATTGAATTCATTCTTCAAAAGCAATTTATTTTCGCAAATTCGTCCAGATGAAATTGTTTTCCAGTTGAATTTGATACATCTGTTGCCCAATCTTCTTCAATCTTCTTAAGGGAAACCAATGTATTACTCATCTATTCAGTTAGTTTTTAGTTTTTTAGTTTTTTAGTTTTTTTAAATCTAGTTTAATTGCAGTTACTTGCCTCTGGGCTGATTATATTCTTTTTTCTTGTATCTTAGCAATTGGAGATAAGAAAAATCTTCAAGGACAGAATACAAAGAATCTTGAACTGAGATTCTTCAGAGTAATAAAATGAATAGAGAAGCCGAAAGGATTTTTTTGGTGGTATATTTTGATACAAAATTAAAAGCTCCAAACTTTTTGCAAATTAATAAAATGCAAAATTCCTATAGAGAAAGTCCAATATAGATATAAATCAAGTCATTGCCCAATAACATGCCATGACTTCCTTAAGGAAAAGCAAGATGTATTCAAAGCAGCAAAGTAGATCAAAGGAGAGGCAGAGAGAGGCAGAGAGAGAGACACACACAGAGAGAGACAGAAACAGAAACAGAGACAGAGACAGAGAGACAGAGACAGAGATAAAGTGCAGCAGGGGATTAAAATAAATTTAAAAAATAAAAGCCAGTTAACTTTTAGAAGTACTGTAAAAAGCCAATAAAGAAGAATATTTGTAGCTCAGGGTTGAAATGAGAAGTCCTTGATGCTTTCTGAATTTGGTTGGTTTCTTGCAGATGTTTCATTACTCAAACTAGTATCATCAGTGCTAGATAACCTCTGAGAATATCATTGATATCCCCAGCCTACTCCAAAATGGAATATTGAACAATCACACTTCTATCTCAAGAATTAAATCATTTTATTTGGGACACATGGTACTGTCATATAAATTATATAATGATGGAAAAGGTAAGGGAAAGAAAATAAAAGAAGTAACAATCAGTAGCAAGGTGGATAGACTGGGTTAAGGCAGTTTTGGAAGACATGTAGGCCAAGTTGAAACATATCATCCTGGAAAAGGTCTGTCTCTGTGCTCTTAATGAGTCATCACCAACTTAATAGCACTTAATCAATGAATCAATCAATCAGTCAGAAAGGATTGCTTGAAGTGACAGAGCTTAACTTCATTCGTCAATAGGAAACTTTGGATACGTTTATAAAGAGTAGAAGAAATGCTGGTCATAGTTATTTAGAAGAGCATTAAGGTAGTCTCTGAGTGCCACAAATGACAGAAAGCAGGGACAGAAGTGCCATTTTTTTCATTGAGGATAATTGGAAGTTTTTGGTTTTAAAATATGTGTGTTAAGATTCTGAAATTTACCTCAGGATATGAAAATGTATCATGTGGCTGTTGATCAGTTCAAAGATAAAAAACCCCATTTGTTACTTTTGTAATTAGTCAGAATTACAAGAAAATGTAAATGTTTTTTTCTTCAGAAAACAGAAAAAAACTTCTAAGTAATGGCAAAAGCATGTGTAAAATGCACAAGAACCCCCACTCTTTTCAATTTTTATTTGAATCAAGGAAACTCTCACCTGTGGAATTTTGTGGGTGCATAAAATATTTGTCATAAAATGGCACACATTAGTGTTAGGACCACAGATAACAGCAGCTATACTGGTCTGGACATCACACTTATAGTTCGGGATAAACCTGCCCCGTGTAGAGAGCAGATCCAGTGAGGCCCGATAAGTCCATCTGGCACGAAAATTGCTGTTCAACACATGGAACCCCAAAGTGACATTAGGCAAAATCCTTAGATTTTCATTAACTGTTTCGACTGCAAATTGCAAAGCCAGAATATGTTGGTAATTCTGAGTGAATACACTGTAATAAAAATTTAAAAAGACTTTCTATGCATCTTCTTTAAAATATAACACAGGAACCACATTTCAACTCAGGAGATGAATAAAATACATGATTTTTTTATTAGCTAGATTGTACTTCCTTGCCCACAAGGAAAAGAGAAAAGAAAACTTGTTATGAATTTCTAAATGTTTGAATCTCAGCCCTATCATTTTGTGTGGAAAAAAAAATCTTGGCCATCGCACAATGGCCCAGTTAGTATCCAAATCAATTCTAAACATTTATAATTGCATGAATGTTGACTTTCAGATGTCTTGAATGGTTGTTGAGGAAGTGTATAATGTGATCCTTCATGTGTATTGGAAGAACAAAATTATTATTTTTTTCTGTAGCTACAAACCTAAAAACCTGGTGCTTTCTTGAAGAAAAAAAAGACTACTTTAAGAAATTTGGCAAGTTTTTTTTTTAAATGAAGTTAAGGTTCTACACAGAAAAAAAAGATCATCCTCATGTTAGTTAGTTAGTTATTGGAATCATGAAGTTTGCTATAGAAAGGATATCGAAGAAACATATGGGACGTGTTATCAGGTTCCTTCAATCACAAGGGCAAGTTTGCTCGGGAAAAGCTGTATTGTTAAACTTTCTTAGAAATGTTTGAAATGGGAAGATACTAAATCTCATCAAAGAGGGACTTCTACAATCTGTTGGACAGGTTATATTGGATGGGTAATTTTCTGGCATGAAGGCATCCTTTTATTATCCTGCGAATACCTAGACTTTGGTGGAAATACTTGAGATCCATATCATACACCTGTGGCAGAATTGTGGCTTTAGCTCTAGCTCCATGGCTAGCATAGGCTGACCCCAAAAGGTGTTTGGACACAGTGTTATGGTTTTCCAGAAGGACAAAAACAGTACAAGGACTTTGAGTAAAGGACTTTGAGGAGAATCATGGAAAGATAATGCTTTCGGTAGGGATGAGTT